AAGGCTCTGTTCTTGGCCACACATGCGCTCCGCACCGCATCAGGCCAGAAATAGTCGGGTAGCCCGGCTTCAATGAGCAACCCGCGTGCCGCCTCCGTGATTGTGCGGTTCGCTCGCTCAGCGATGCCGTTCATTGCAGGGGAGTATGGCATGGTGAGGGAGTGTCGAATACCATTCTTCTTCAGCCACAACCCAAACTCCTTGCTCAGGAACTCTCCCCCTCGATCGGTGCGGATTGACTTGACTAGACGGTCTTGTTGCCGCTCCACCATCGGGAACCAATCCGCCTTCAACGTTTCAGCCACGTCGCTCTTCTTGGCCAGCACGTACACCCAAGTCATACGGGTGTAGACGTCAACAATAGTGAGGAAGTACTCAGCTCCAGCAGCTCCAAGCTTCAGGGGGCCCACCACGTCCATCACCACCTCATCAAGTGGTGCCTTAGCCGTTGCCTCCGAACTAGAGAATGGGAAACGGGTGAACTTGGCTTGCATGCACGTCGGGCAGCCAAGTACCTCATCGGGCTCCCCCTTCACACGTATGCCAGCAACCATCTCATTCTTCACTAGCTGCTGCAAGATGGGCAGGGCCACATGCCCCATGCGCCGATGCAAGGTGAGCCAATCACACTCCCCCGTAGCCGAAGTTGGATTGGAGAATGCCGCGCTCGCAATAGCGCCCCACATACTCTCTCCGTAGTCCTCCTCCGCTGCTGCCTCGGGGTTCTCCTCACCCTTTTGCTGCTCTTTGGCTGCTGCACCTCTCTCCTTAGGTTCACTGAACTTGCTGGTCCCTCCAGGTTTGCTCTTCTTGAGCTCATTCTCCTTAGCGCGACCGTTCGCGCCATCGTCGCTACCGACCGCTCCATCCTTGGTGCTGATGCTTGCTGCCACTTGCCTCTCCTTAGGCATAGGGACCACTGGAATCTGCCACATCTCGTTGTAGACATCCCTGTCCTCATGAAGGTCCCAGAGAATCCGATCGCCAAGCCTTGCGGTGTAGGTCTTGGCTCCCTTTGAATCACCTTCCCCACAGCTGCTGGCTCCTCAAAGCCTTCATCCTTCTCTGGACCAGTCGGTACTTGCGTCGACACAAAGTAGAATAGACCCGGGTATCGATCGTCGCTCGGGTCCTTGTCGTTGTCTCCGCTCTTCATGTTTGCAGCTCCGCCACCGCGACCGCCACGGCCTCCACGGCCTCTTCCTCTCCCTCCTCCTGCTCCTCTACCCTCTTGGCCTTGAGCAGGGGTCCAACCATCAGGGAGTTTGTAGCAGTCGCGCCACATGTGTCCGCTCTTGTGGCAATAGTGACACTCGCCGTCGAATCGGCCGCGACCGCGTCCGTAGCTCTTGTCATTGCTGCCGTAACCGCCACTCCCGCGGCCTCCGCCGAAGTTGCTGCCACCAAACCTTCCTCCCCCTTTTCCTGTGCCTCTTCCTCGACCATATCCACGGCCGATGCTCGCTGCCCCAGCGCCATCCGCACTCGCCAACTCACGACGGCGGAAATCCTCTTGAAGGATAGCCCGCTTCACGTCTTCGAGCGAGAGGCGGGGCAAGTCGCGATTGAGGTTGATGATGAGCGAGGACCATGATTCGGGGAGTAGGGCCAGCAACTTGGTCTTCTTTTGGAGCTCACTATAGTTCAAATCAGCTCCCTCAAGCCGCGTCAACAAGTCGAAGAATTTCTGCACCCCTTCTTCTACCGCTTCATCCTCTTCAATTCGTAACGTCGCCATTTGCCGTTCCAACACCACAGCTACCGCCGCTGTTGCAGGAGCGTGTACACCCTTGAGAGCAGCCCATGCTTTTGGTCCCTTCTCTGGTTCACGCTGGAAAGGCTTGATGTGACGGATTTGGCTGCTCCCCAACGCTTGCCCAAGTAGGAGGTAGCCTTGTGCGCTCTTCCGCACCCACGGGCTCTTCTCCGGGTCGTTCTCGGGACGCTTCTCCGTTCCTTCCATCACCTCCAGCAGGTCATAGTGGTCAAATATGTTCTCCATTCTGAAGGACCACTCAGCAAAGTTGTCACCATTGAACTTGTCAAGGCCAAACACTCTAGGCTCATCCCTAGATGGGCCAACACTTGGTTGCACGGGCGCCATGGATGAGTCACGGGGTTGGCCTTGAGCTTGGGCTTCTCCTCTGCCACCAGCACCTCTGCCACCCCTTTCATCAGGTCCAGCCATTGTCGAAACTGCTCCGAGGGGCTCTGATACCACTTGTTATAGTCACAATAGGCTCCAATGTGCCTAAAACGAAAGATAGAGTGCACAGCCGGATTTCTGCACAGTGGCTTCAAACGTTCATAGCGTTCTGGTCACAACTTCAAATGACCTGATTCAACTTGGATCTGGAGCGTCTGAACGTCGCCTACAATAGGCAATTTAGATCGCACGATTTGACCAAGTATTGACGACACAGTGTTGGTTTGAACGAACGGCACTATGGCAGCCACTATAGTCTTAGAACACAAAATAGGAAGAGATCTGAAGAGTTACGAGTTGGGAATGACTCCCAGCTCCTACAAACCCCAAGAGCCGAGGTACAGTGATGTGGAACAGTGCCACACTGTCCCCAACCACGAAGGGTCTCGAAACTACCCTTCACTAGGGCCTACACCAAGTGAAATATTACACTACACAAAGTAATGTAACTATCTTCAATATCTTGAGGTGTACCCTTTTGGCGAGCTTTGAAATCACCTGAGGCTTGACACCAAGGCTCGGGCTCTTCATCACAAACTCATCCTTGAGTTTTTTGATGGGTCTGCTGCACACACCTGCGACACACCGAACGTTCGACACAGGACAAAATAGAAACCGCGCACGACAAAATAGAAACCGCGCGAGACACAAACGACCGCGTAACACGCGTCTAGCGATAACTCGCTATTGACTCAACACACACACTCGACATCATGACTCAACATTCACACACAATTATAAGCATGAAATATATATTATCCCATGCCCTCATACCATTCCATACACACACACACATGCACGCACACGGACAACAAGCCGAGTGCAAACCATAGGGTTGCACCAACACCCTGCCTGGCATATGCAGACGACGTGACGTTCCTTGGGGCAGCAACCGACTGCGCAGCCGCATTTAACCACTTCATGTTGCAGCTGATGGGCGTGGGGCTGATTCACAACCTGACAAAGTGCTCGGCCTGGAGCCAGAGCCTGGATGACGAGAGCATCATACCTGTTGGGGTCCCATTCAAGGCAGAGGGGCTGCGCGTCTTGGGCAGCCACATAGGCCCGGAAGATCGGGCATCCACATTCCTTCGTGACCAGCTAGCCAAGATGGCCGCCCCACTACCACTCATCACCGAATTGAACCCGCAGATAGCGAATCTACTCCTAACCAAATGCATCTCAAGGCGGGTGTCTTTTCTGGCCCGCACCACGCCCCTCCAAATCCTACCTGAAGCCGAATGGTCCCGCTGGGGCCAGGCGCAACTCTTCACGCTCCTGGACGCCCGCGGTGTCCAGCACTCGAGAGGTTAAATAGAGGACCAGTAGGTGTGGGGGCAGGCCTATCTCCCACCGTCCCTCCGGGGCCTCGGCCTAACAGACCCCGCGGTTGAGGGGAGATACAGTTTTCTAGCAAGCTTCGTGCAGGCGCAGAACTTACTCAGTTCCCTACCAGGACCCGCGGGACTCCACCTGGCCGGCACCTTGGCGCTGCCAGCGGTCGAAAGCACAGACCAGCACCAGCTACAGCGATGGCTTCTGGAATGTGAAGCCGCTTTGGGGGAGGAGGCATTGGAGCTGCTATCGACAGAGCGGACCGCCCCTACAAACAGACTGCAGCACAGCCTCGCCTCCTCGTCCAGGGCAGCCGCTTCGCTGCGCATTTGGTTGCCTCAAGACAGATGGAATTAAACCCACTGGCAGGACATACGCAGCGGCTACTCTCTCTGACAGGCTTTGGAGCAGAGGACTAGCTGCTCGCCATCCCATACATGCCCTCCCTCCACCTCAGCCCGGGACTTGCATTTACACTGCCCATACCAGACTACTGCGACTGCTGTGACAAGATCCCAATCCTAGACAAATGGCTACCCAACCACCTTCTTTGTTGCGGCACGGGACACTGACGGACAGACACACACAACGGAGTTAGGGATGAATGCGTGCGCATGGCACAGGACGCGGGCTTCACAGTGCACAAGGGGTCAACGGCGTTCTGCCCAGTGGACAAGCAAAAGGCTGACGTAGCGATTCGGGACCGTACCTCAGGCGCAGTTTGGTTGTGTGATGTCACGGTCACCGACCCAATCAGCAGCCGCGACGAGAATGCTACAAAGGGGAGGGGCTGGATGGTGTGGGAGATGGAAGACAAGAAGATAGCGAACTTTAGGACCCGCCTGCCATGGGTTGGATTCTTCCCGTTGGCAGTTGAAACCTACGGGTGCCCTTGCGAGGAGGTTCCCGCCTACCTCAAGCTACTGGCCGACGCGGCAGCCCGCAAGCTCTTCAACACGGACCTGTCTTCCTACCAAGTAGCAAAAAAGATGCACCAGTTCCGGCAGAGATGGTCCATCTCCGTACAGAAGGGACAAGCCCTCAGCTACCTTAAGAAGCTGAATCTGGCGGCACGAGCGGAGAACCCGCCTGTCGGAGGGCCAGAGGGGGTGCTGAACCCAGGGGACAACTTTACTACCCTGGAGGGCTAGATAGGGAAGGGGATACTTAGCCGGATATAGGTCATGTTAGCTCTACTTCCTCTTGACTGTACTACACGTTCTATATCAATGAAAGGACCATTTGAGAGGGAAAGGGAGGTTGGTTCAAGCTTGTTGTGTTGCCATGGGGCTGTGTGGAGCATAGCGTGAGGGACAGGGAGTGTGCACAACGGAGCATGCTCCTTGCCTCGCACCCCATCAGCTTTCATTCTCCCATCGCTTGCCCACCCACACCCCAGAGCGAACGAGTCACTATCCCATCACCAGCGCCAAGCCCAGCCCGCTGTACCTCTGTGCCCATGGTGGGTGAGAGGCAAGGTGAAAGGGAGAATGAGAGAGAAGGACAGGAGGGTGTAAGGGTGGGTGGGGTGGTAACCATGGGCGATGGTAGGAGTAGAGAAGGTGGCCGAATGGGGAAGAGTGAGAGCAACCTAATGAGGCAATGGGGAAGGGAAGCAACGATGACCCTTAATGCGATAGGAAGGGATGAGAGGGTGGGCGGGGTGACGATTAGGGGGAACATGATGGGCAGGGGAGTGATGACAACGTGGAGAGAGGAGGGAGGGGAAACGAGATCAACGGGAAGGGAAGCGATGGCGATAGGGAGGGGAAGCGTGGGCGACGGTGGAAGGGAGTGTAGGGGACGGTGGGGGGAAGCGTGGGTGACTCGGTCAAAGTGTGTGTGACAATGAGAGTAAGCGTGGGCGACGGTGTGGGGAAGCGTGGGGGACGCGGAAGGCGATAGAATCAAACGCGATGTCAACAGAAGGGCGAAGCCAACGCGACCGAGTTAGGAACCATTGGCGACCATGTGAGGAGAGCAAGGAGTGGTGGGGAGAAGGCCCCAGAGAAAAAGGGCGCTCAGAGGAGTGAAAGAAGTGGCGGAATGGGGCAGGACGATGTCGATGAGCGGAAGCGTGGGTGACGGGACGTGACGTCGATTGTAGGATTATCGAGAGACATATCCAGCGAGACTTGCATCCCATCCTCCCATTCTAGAGATTTTGCCTATCACTCATTCCCTTCCCCACTGCTCACTCCTTTCCCCCCTGCTCACTCCCTTCCCCTCTGCTCACTCCTTTCCCCCGTGCTCACTCCCTTCCCCTCTGCTCACTCCTTTCCCCTCTGCTCACTCCCTTCCCCTATGCTCACTCCTTTCCCCCTTGCTCACTCCCTTCCCCTCTGCTCACTCCTTTCCCCTTTGCTCACTCGCTTCCCCTCTGCTCATTCCCTTTCCCCCTGCTCACTCCCTTCCCCTCTGCTCACTCATTTCCCCTCTGCTCACTCCCTTCCCTTCTGCTCACTCCTTTCCCCACTGCTCACTCCCTTCCCCACTGCTCACTCCTTTCCACTCTGCTCGCTCCCTTCCCCTCTGCTCACTCCTTTCCCCTCTGCTGAGTCCCTTCCCCTCTGATCACTCCTTTCCCTCCTGCTCACTCCCTTCCCCCTTGCTCACTCCCTTCCCCTGTGCTCACTCCTTTCCCCCCTGCTCACTCCCTTCCCCTCTGCTCACTCCTTTCCCCCTTGCTCACTCCTTTCCCCTCTGCTCACTCCTTTCCCCCCTGCTCACTCCCTTCCCCTCTGCTCACTCATCTCCCCTCTGCTCACTCCCTTCCCTTCTGCTCACTCCTTTCCCCACTGCTCACTCCCTTCCCCACTGCTCACTCCTTTCCACTCTGCTCGCTCCCTTCCCCTCTGCTCACTCCTTTCCCCTCTGCTGAGTCCCTTCCCCTCTGATCACTCCTTTCCCTCTTGCTCACTCCCTTCCCCCTTGCTCACTCCCTTCCCCCCTGCTCAATTTGTTGGAAACGGTGCAGAGGGAGAGATGGGGGAGGAAGGGAGAGGGAGGGGGTGGGGGTGGGGGTGAGTGAGGACGACCAAATGCGGCAACAACGGTGATGGGGATAAGAGGGGAGATGCGATAGGCGGGGAAGCGATGACGATGGGAGGGGAAGTGGCAGGGACGGTGGGGGGAACAGTGGATGGGAGGATGGGATGAAGGGAAAAACAACGGAATGGGGGAAGGGACAAAGGGTGACGACCCGGCGGCGGCGCGGGGTAGCAAAGTCGACCGGGATGCGATAGGAGGGGAAGGGCTCCTGGGAAAAGGGGAAAGCGATTGCGACGGTGTGGCCGATCGGAGGGAGGAAGGGGATGCGACGCGATGGGAGGGAGGCGGCGTCATCGCGCAAGGCGACGTGACAGGAAGCGAGGGTGATGGGGAAACAGCGACGATGTTGGGTGCAAGCGAGGGCGACGGGGAAGGGAACGCGCGACCAATGGGGAACGCGCGACAGGTGGACTTTGTCAACAATGGGGAGGGATAGCCTGAACGTTTCGTTGGGTAACGCAAGGAGACGTGGCGGGTGGGTAGACATGAGGAAGGTGGAAGGGCGTGTCAGAAACCGAATGAATGATGGACTATTGTGGGTTGGGGTACATAAACCTAACCCTAACTGCTGTACCCCATATGACACGCATCACTAAAGGCTACAACATTTGACACATCCCCGTAGCCTAAATGAGGGGTGTCAAGCAAAACCAAAACCGTACAGTCACAAGACCAGTAACAAAGAAACAAAGCTCAGGGTGGATCACAATGTCACCACACAGTTTGAGCACAAGCGGGGCAACAAGGCTAGTCTAAGAGTTCACAGAGGTATATGCAAAGTGTACAACAAAACAAACATAGTCTACACAAGACGACAACATGTGTCAACGAGACCTAACTGCACACAACACCTGTGGTGGTCACAAGGTAAAAGAGCCTTGGTGAAGATGTCTGCAGTGTTGGCCTCGGACTCCACAAAGTCCGAGCGAGCCTGTCCACGCCTCTGCAACTCTCGCAAGAGAGAGTACCTGATGTTGATGTGCTTCACTCTGATCTCCAGTGGAGGCTCTTGACAGAGGAGAATTGTAGCCTTATTGTCAGTAAACAAGGTCGGTGCAAAGCTTGGCCGCTCGCCAAGGTCTGTGAGCAAGAAGGTCAACCAGCGCAGCTCCTGTGCAGCCATGGCTCCAGCGTAGATCTCAGCCTCAGCGGTAGAGTTTCAAGACCGAGGAGGAATGGGTGGACCTCCACGAAACAACTCCACATCCCAGGCTGAAGCAGTTGCCCTGAGAAGGCCTATGAGTCTCGGCGTCATGAGTGTAAGAAGAGTTACAGTGACCAGTACATACGACAGACTGTCTCCCTCCAACTACCAGCCCCACGCCTGATGTCGTCGCTAGGTACTTCGCCACCCTCACAGTAGCTGTCTAGTGAACAGGACGGTGTCTCCCTGGCGCAACAAAGCGAGCAACGAGGCTCTGAGGAAAGGCGAGGTCCGGGCGAGTACAAGTCATCACATACATGAGGCAGCCCACAAGCTCTGCATAAGGAACACTAGGCTCAAAACGCTTGTCAGGAAAGGGACCAGTGAGTCTGTGGTCAACGACAAGAGGTGTGCGCTGTACTCTGGAGTGCTGAAGCTCGAACCGTTGAAGAACCTGCTGCACCATGTGTGATTGTGAGAGTGTAATGGTGCGAGCGGCTCTGTCCCTGGTGATCTGCAGGTCTAGGTAGTGGCACAGCTCACCAAGGTCAGTGCACGTGTGTCTCTTCTGCAATTCGAACTTCACGTCAGCCAAAGCAGCCCTGTCAGCAGTGGCAAAGACCAGGTCGTCGACGTAGACCAGTACAAAGAGCGGTGTAGAGCCACGACGAACGAACAGCGACGGGTCGGCAGAAGACGGCTGGAAACCTAGGTCAAACAGGGTAGAGCGAAGGGTGTCGTACCACTCACGAGGCACCTGTTGGAGACCGTAGACCGGTCGCCTTAGCCTCCACTGAGTCCCAGGAGGAAAAGTGCCAGTGAAGGCAGAGGGTCGACGCAACCAAACCTCCTCGTGTAGGCTACCCTAAAAGAAGGCAGTGGAGAAGTCAAGGGAGTGTAACTCGTAGTCTCTCCGTGCTGCTACGTGCAGTAACACTTGAAGAATGGTCATCTTCGGGGTAGGCGCAAAGGTCTGATAGAAGTCAACTCCCTCATGCTGACTGAAACCTCTAGCCACATAGCGCGCCTTGAAAACTGGAGGAGATCCCGGTGGCCACTTCACCCTGAAGATCCACATGCCATCGACTACGTTCGCCCCAAGGGGGGGACATCATCGACGTACGTGCCTGTGGATCTGTAGGAGGCCATCTCTAAGTCCATGGCAGCTCTCCATTGAGAGGCCCAAGGCCCTGACACTACCTCAGTGTAAGTGCGAAGAGTCGGTATGTCAAGGGCGTCGAGGTCTCCCTCAGGGGAGAACAGCATGGCACAAGGATTAGTAGAAGCGGCTGCCAGGAACTCCAGCTCAAACTGCCTGTCCTCTAGGGCGTCACAGCCAAGGGCAGACTTACCCCCAACGGCCAGAAGACACGTAGGAGGAGCAACAACGAGACGTGTGGTGTAGCCAAGGCGGCGAGTAGTGGCGAACTCAGTGACTGTGGCAGTAAGGGCGAAAATGGAGGACAGAGAGGCACGAGGGTATGTGACAAGAGAGGTGGGAACACGAGAGAGAACATGACGGTACGTGCGGTAGTAGACAGTGACAAGAGTTGAGAGGGAAGCAGTGAGGGCCGACTCAAGAGGAGACGGAAGCACAGACGGAGATGAACAAGGCGGACTAGGACGGAACAGGACAGTGCAAAGGTCAGCGAAAGTGACAGGGGACGAGGGACGAGCACGAGGAGAGCGAGAAGCCCAAGAGTGATAAAGAGGAGGGGAGAACGGAGACTGAGAACGGGGGAAAACAGTTGGGGTGGAGTTAGGAGGAGGAAACGTGGGACCGTAGACAGGAGGAGTGGGGGAGGGGGGAGGAGAGGGAGAGGGGAGACGGAGGGTCCGAAGGCCAGAGACAGGAGGCGGAGGTGGCGGGTGCTGCTGCTCCTGCTGCGGCGGCTGCTGCTCTTGCTGCGACGGCTGCTGCTCCTGCTGCTGCTGCTGTTACTCCTCCAGCTGCGGCTGGTGCTTCTCCAGCTGCTCCTGCAGTGGCGACTGCTTCTGCTCCGCCAGCTGCTGTAGGTCCAGCTGATGCCGCTCCAACTCTAGCCCCTCTCGCTCCAACTCCAGCTGCTCCTCACGTGCACGGTGAAGACGGGCCTGGTGACTGGTCGAGTAGGGGTGGGGGGGAGGAGTAGTACCCTGGGCGGTGGTAGCCCTAGGACTGCTCTCCAAAGCAATAGTAGCACCACCCCCAGGGCCAGCACCACCAGCAGCAACGCGGCCAGTCCCAGACTCTCCAGGTCCTACAGAGGGTGCACCCGCACCCCCTGTCGTAGCAACCCCAGGGACAGCTCGACTAACACCAGCTCCCCAAAGACTAGAAACTCCTGCAGACCTGGGCTCAGCTCCAACTCCAGCACCCCCAGCACCAGAACCTCGTGCAGGCACACTCTCAGCTCCAACTCCAACACCTCCAGAGGTAGCACCTCTAGGTTCCGCGCTACTGACACTAGCACCCCCAGGGTCTGCAGCAACCTGAGGAGGAAGGGCTGACGGCTGCTACGGTGACTGTGAGGAGGATTGCAAAGAAGGGGACAGGACCTGAGGGGCTACCGAAGGAGGGGGGGTAGCGTGTGACACCTGACGGGGCTGGACCAGCGGGGGGAGGATGTACCGGAGGATCAGGAGGGGGGGCAGGAGTCAGGAAGAGAGGGGGAGGAGGAGCCGGGAGACCTTGACAGGGGTACTGGGTGTAGTAGGGAACTGACTCGTCAAAACGGACGTTGCGGTAGTCAAAGAACCGGTGAAGGGGAGGGTGGGAAAAGTTGAAGTCAGAGGAGTCTTCAAGGAAACTAAAGAAGACACATGGAATGGCGCGAGGTGAGATCTTGTCCGTGGAGGTGTCGCGAGCACGTGCCAAGCAGCCCCAGACACAAAAACGCGACGCAATACCAGGGGACCCAGTCCCTGGTGAAGCCCCTGGCCGGGAGACATGTGGCTAGAGGTTCAGTTGGTGAGCAGTGTACCGAACCGCGTAGGGCCACAGAAATTGGGGTGCCTATGCGGCGTAAATAATGGAAGTGAGAGCGATATCCATGACCAAGCCTATGCGGCGCTCAGCAACCCCATTTTGCTGTGAGGACTCCCAAAGCGTCCAGGACTGACGGATGCCATGTTCGCGACAGAATCCGGCGAGAACACCGGAGCGAAATGTTACAATACCAAGTTAACTAGGAACCGGATTTAGGGCCTAGGCTTAGAAGCCTAGGCCAAGCGGGTTTCGAGAGAATCGTGGCCAAGGGAAGGGAGAAAATGGTTGCGTTTATTATAGGACCTAATGTACATATAGCAAACAAACAAGAGGTGCACCACCAAACAGGTTAGTATAACTACACTAAAGCTAAAGCTACACGCAGTTATAAACATATATAAATATATATCGCGACACACCCCCTTATCTGCCTGCAGCACATTGTTATGTAATTCTACCATTTGCGTTCACGTCTGTCTGCCTCCCATCATATGTTTGTGCGTTGCATGCGTGGTGTGAGCGTGTGCACGAATTTGTGTTTTCTGTGGTTTGGATTTTCTGAGTGTATGTGAATGTTATTTGGCTTGAGCAGATATCTGAAATGACTCCTCTGCTCAAGAGCTTTTCGTCGAACCAAGTATCGCTTCAATCGGAGCACGAACAAGAAAGTTACGAACGTTGGAAGTTCGTATGCTTTTGATATTTGGTTGTGGTGACTATGGGAAGTTGTGGGGTTGACTCTATACGGGGTATAGACTTTTGGGGGTTGGGAAATTCGTCAACATCACTGTAGATGCTGCCAAGTGGTTGGGAGGAGCCAAACCAGGTTGGCAAGTGTGGCCAAGTTGGGCAAGGTGGATGGCATGGGTTGGAAAGTGACAAAAGTAAAAGTGGGGTTTCCTATAGGGAAGGGATTTGGTGTGGTTATGGGGTTTTCCTTGGTTGGGGACTCCTTGGGGAACTTCCCTCTCGTCCTCCTCTTCCCTCCACCTGGTTAATTGCTACTCCAACTCTCTTGTGTAGTAATTGTGAAAATTGTGAGACTCTTATCATTGAGTTAAGTTCTCGTGGCAGAATACCCCCCTGTGCGCCGAAACTGATAACTCGAGAAATACTTCACCTTTTTGTACGATTCAACTTGGGAATTATAGCCACGGACTAGGGCTACAACATAGCTGAGTTTTGTGAAGTATTGACGGTGCAGTTTTCGTCGATGGCGTTTCTTGTGAACTCGACTATTCTGTCTAGAAATTGAGACCAACGATTTTGTGATATTTCAGCTCCTAATCTTCATAGACTCCGTCCTTAGTCTCTAACACACATAACTGGAGCAAGTCACACCTCCAGAACCTGGGCAAGAGGTAGGAGAAGCAGAGGAAACAGCAACACAGATCAGCCATGATAAATGCAACAACGACAGGTGCAGGACCCGAGAGGTGGGCGTGAGAGCAAGCGCCGTGGCTGCAACGAGCAGCTGGACAGCGTGGCTCAGCACCTCCGGAGGCGTGCCTGCTACAGGCAGCAGGTGCAGTGATGGCAGATAGGCCCACAGTGACCTCAGCCACGGCAGATGCAGCAGCGGCAGGTGCAGGACCCGGCAGGTGGGCGTGAGAGCATGTGCTGTGGCTGCAACGAGCAGCTGGACAGCACCGCTCAGCACCTCCAGGGGCGTGCCTGCTACAGGCAACGGCTGCAAATGCCCGACTTACTTCTTCCACCCCCTTACCCGCCCACTCAACCCCTCTGGTGCTGGCGGCTAGCGCTGGTGCTGGATCTTGGCGCTGGCGGCTGGCGCTGGTGCTGGTTCCTGGTGCTGGCGGCTGGCGCTGGTGCTGGTTCCTGGCGCTGGTGCTGGTTCCTGGCGCTGGTCTGGTTCCTAGCGCTGGTGCTGGTTCTAGTTCCTGGCGCTGGCGGCTGGCGCTGGTGCTGGTTCCTGGTGCTGGCGGCTGGTGCTGGTGCTGGTTCCTGGTGCTGGCGTCTGGCGCTGGTGCTGGTTCCTGGTGCTGGCGGCTAGTGCTGGTGCTGGTTCCTAGTGCTGGCGGCTGGCGCTGGTGCTGGTTCCTGGTGCTGGCGGCTGGCACTGGTGCTGGTGCTCGTTCTTGGTGCTGGCGGCTGGCGCTTGTGCTGGCTCCTTGTGCTGGCGGCTGGAGCTGGTGCTGGTTTCTGGTGCTGGCGGCTGGCGCCGCTGCTGGTTCCTGGTGCTGGCGGCTGGCGCTGGTGCTGGTTCCTGGTGCTGGCGCTGGTGCTGGTGCTGGTTCCTGGTGCTGGCGGCTGGTGCTGGTGCTGGTTTCTGGTGCTGGTGGCCGGGGCTGGTGCTAGTTCTTGGTGCTGGCGCTGGTGGTGGTGCTGGTTCGTGGTGCTCGCTCTTGACAGCCGCCCACCACCCCTTTCCCCCACTCCTTCCCCCCCCTCACATAAGTCGCCAACCCCTCCACGCTGCTCCCGCCATTCCCGCCGCCGCCGCCCCCACTGTCCGCCACACCCACCACCGCGCAACACGGCATAGGCAGGCGCAATAGAGGGGGAAGGCGCGACGAGGGAGGGACGGGGAGGGGCGGGGACAGCGTGGGTATGGGAGGAAACTACAGTTCCTGACGCGGCAGATGCAGGCGGGGCAGGGACGGGTCGTCCAGGGCGGGGTGCAAGCTGGCTGGCGCGCCGGTTGGCGAGCTGGCTGGCGCGTTGTTTGGGCCACCCTTTTCCCCCTTCCCTTCTTCCCCCCCCCCCCCCCCCCCCCCCCCCCCCCCCCCCCACCGCGACCGTCACTGCAACCGCGCAAGGCAGGGACGGGTGGGGAAGAGGTGGCGGGGTGGGGAGCTGACGACGGGCTTGCTCGCGGGCTCGCGGGTCCATTGGTTCACTTGCTAGTGGGTCTGCGGGTCTGCTGGTTTGTTTACTGGCAGGCTTGCGGGTCGTGGATGATCTGTAGCATGCAGTGGCGGTGCAGCAGCTTCTCCCGCCACTCCTGCCACGCCTGCCATTCCCGCCACTCCCGCCACGCCCGCCATTCCCGCCACTCCCTTCACAGCAGCTGCGAAGTCGATGGGAGGGCAGGCGGGGACGGAACGGAATGTTTTGGAACGCGGGCTAGCGCTGGTGCTCAAGTGACAGTTGCCACCCTTTTCCCCCTCTCCTCTCCCCCCCCCCCCCCCCCCCCCCCCCACTGCAACCGTCGACGTTTCCGCGACAGTGAGCCACGACGAGGTAGCGTGATGGGGAAGGGCGACGAGGAAGGCAGCGGCGGTTCAAGGGGCCAACGGGGGGCAAGAGCAGCGGCGCGAAACAGCGGGTCGACAATGAACACCGTCACTCCTGCCATGACCGTCGCGTCTGTCACGACTATCGTGACGGATTTTGCTACGGGTGAGCGACGGGGAAGGACGGGACGCGCCATCATGATAACTAACGGTGGGCCCTTTAAAAAATAGGTCGGGAACGACCTAGCTCGATACCATGTTACAATACTAAGTTAACTAGGAACCGGGTTTAGGGCCTAGGCTTAAAAGCCTAGGCCAAGCGGGTGTCGACAGAATCGTGGCCAAGGGAAGCGAGAAAATTGTTGTGTTCACTATAGGACCAAAGGTACATATAGCAAACAAACAGGAGGTGCACCACCAACCAGGTTTGTATAACTACACTAAAGCTAAAGCTAAAGCTACAGGCAGTTATAAACATATATAAATATATATCGCGAGACGAAACTCAACCCCACGGTCGGAGTGAAGACAACTGACACGACGACCACGAGTGTCCGCAGTGGTAAGCAACCATTGGACCAGCGTAGAAGTCACCTCGGACTTCTTCGCCAGGCGTAACACTGTGATGTGGCGAGAGTAGTCTTTAACGACCACTAGAAAGAAACTCTCTCGCTCAAGGCCAGGGCACGAGGTGGGGCCCCAGACGTCCAAGTTGGGAGTCTCAAAGGGCTCGGTGGTTGGACGAAGGGAGGAGGAGTGAGGGGTGGCGCGCAGCCAACCCTCGACGAAAGGGGCGCAAGGTGGTGCAAGCGAAGGCGGCAGAGACGGCAAGACTCGCGGGAGGCCTAAGACGAGACTCTGACTAGACATAGTGCGGAGGCGAGGAAAGGATGGGTGACCAAGGTGGTGGTGGTACAGAACAGTGGGGTGGGCAAGCGACCGACACGAACAAGACATAGCAACCGGACCAGACACTAGAACCCTACCAGACACAGCTACCTGGTGGGAGGCGGCAACCTGGTGAGACGCGGGGACCGGAGGGGGGGCAGTGACAAGGGTAGAAGGCAGCTGCTGCTGCTACCTCTCTCGTGGGCCAGTGTGAAGTGTGTAGAGACCAGAGCCCGGCTGCGTGTAAGGTGGCCAGTGGCACATACGGGACATCGTCTACACAGGTCGCAGAGTCCCCAGAAGGCTCAATCCAAACACCCACGTGACTGTCCATGAGCGGCCTCACACACACCAAGTTCCTGGAGAACGAGGGGACGTGAAAGCTGGTCAGGAAACCCAAGGGAACAGCCGGGCACGGAAGTGTAGTGAGCAGTGACTATTCCCGAAGTGGGATCAGCCAGTGCTACGGAGACCGGCACAGGAAGTGGAGTAAGAGTCGTGTGGTCGTGGAAGAAACAGTGCAAAGCTCCGGAGTCCAGGGTGAAAGACAGCGAAGCGTCCTTCGGAGCAGCACTTGGACTAGTACCTAAGCAAGTACCTACACTAGCAACTGGCACAGGATCAACACTAACACCTAAGCTACAAACACGCAAGTAAATAGAGTCAGAAGCACTAGAGTCAACAACAGCATACATAGCATGAGGATTTCCTAAGAGATCAAGTAACTTAGAAGCAGACATGGCCCACAGAGCGGCACTGTGCGAGTGAACAAAAGGAAGCCAGTCTGGGGCAGGGCCATTGACACCGTAGGCGGCGCGAAGAGTGTTAGTGAGCTGAGCAAAGCACTGACCCGGTGTGTGGCGGCGGTCACAGCGGAAGCCGCTACGAGTACCTGTCTGGACGATATAGGGGCAGGGAGGGTGGGCGTCACTACGCGACAGCTGACGCGGATCTAAGCCTTGCTGCTGCCCATGTTGCTGCCCTTGCTTCTGCTGTGGCCGCTGCAAGAGGAGTGGCAGCTGCTGCTGTCTCTGAGCCAGGTACCAAGCCGCCATTCCAACACCTGCAGCTAGGAGTCTCGCAGGTGCCCAACTAACTCGAGCGGCACCTCCACCAGCCGCAGTAGGGGAGTCACTATACGTGGCACCAGGCGCTCCACCAACTCCTGCACTCCCACCACCTCGCCCGCAACGCCACCTCCGCCGCCTCCGCTGCCGCCCGCACTGTTATAGTCACAGTTGGCTTCAATGTGCCTAAAACGAAAGATAGAGTGCACAGCCGGATTTCTGCACAGCGTCTTTAAACGTTCATAGCGTTCTGGTCACAACTTCAAATGACCTGACTCAATTTGGATCTGGAGCGTCTTAACGTTGCCTACAATAAGCAATTTAGATCGTACGATTTCACCGAGTATTGACGACACAACGTCGGTTTGAAAGAAGGGCACTATGGCAGCCACTATAGTCTTAGAACACAAGATAGGAAGAGTTACGAGTTGGGAATGAGTCCCAGCTCCTACAAACCCCAAACGCCAAGGTACAGTGATGTGGAACAGTGCCACACTGTCCCCAACCATGAAGGGTCTCGAAACTACCCTCCACAAGGGTCTACACCAATAGAAATGTTACACTACACATTGTAATGTAACTATCATCAACATCTTGAAGTGTACCCTTTTGGCGAGCTTCAAGATCACTTGAGGCTTGACACCAAGGCTCGGGTTCTTCATCACAAACTCATCCTTGAATTCTTGATGGGTCTGCTGCACACACCTGCGACACGCCGAACGTTCGACACACGACAAAATAGAAACCGCGCGACATACACAAACGACAAGGTAGAAACCGCGCGAGACACACAAACGACAACGTAGACATGCGACTAGCGATGACTCGCTATTGACTCGACACACACACACATTCAACATCAAGACTCATCATTCACACACTATTATAAGCATGAAATTTATATTATCTCATGCCCCTCATACCATTCCATGCACAAACGCATGCACGCACACGGACAACAAGCCGAGTGCAAACCATAGGGTTGCACCAACAAACTTCCCCTCAGATTGTAGGCCTTAGGATATGTTTCTCTCTCAGTTCAGAGCCATTCCAGCCAGCTCCCAACACTTCCAATGCTGCTGCTCCACCAGCCTCTTAGTCATCATGTCAGCCGGCTGCCCCGTGGTCTTCACGTAGCGCAACTCAACTTCACCAGCAGCCACCATGCTTCTTGTCCAGTGCCACTTCACCCTCATAAGCTTCGTGAGGCCATGCAACACAGGGTTCTTAGCAAGAGCAATGGCACCCTGGCTATCACAGTAGAAAGGGGTAGGTCCTTCCTGCTCCTCCCCCAATTCAGCCAACAAACGCCGCTACCACACACTCTCCCGTACCGTACAGAAGAGTGCCATGTACTCGGACTCCACCGAGCTCAAAGCTTGGTCCACCTGCTTCTTGCTCTCCCAAGAAGTTGGGCCTCCACCAACACAGCAGATGAAGCCTCCCACACTTGTCGTGTCCTCTGGTTGTGATGCATAGGAGGCATCGGAGAATGCAGTGAGGAACAAACGCCCGGGTTCTACTCCATCCGCACCCTTTTGGCGCCTTTGCACCGCCGCCGAGTATTGCAGCCCAACGGTCGGTGTTTGGCCAAGGTACTTGACCACCCTCATTCCAGCTGCTACCTGCTCGTCATTAGGGCATTGCACAACCCTAGCCAGCTGCCCGGTAGCAAAGGCGACGTTTGGCCGAGTGTTTACCGCCGCATACATGAGGCTGCCCACCAACGAGTGAAAATGGCGCCTCTCCTCTTCACAAACGCTCTCCTCCTCTGGTCCCTTCACACACTTGAACCCAGAGGGAAAGGGAGTAGCCACATGGCCTTCACTCTGCCCAAAGTTGGCAGCCAAGGCCTCCAGGTACTTCCGTTGGTGCACCCGCATGCACCGCTTCTCCACGTCACGCTCGATGTGGAGCCCAAGGTAGAAGTTCACGTCACCAAGGGACTTGCACTTGAACTTGTCTTGAAGTTTCAGCATCACCTCCTTCACAAGGACAGAGGAGGGTGAGAAGATGAGGATGTCATCCACGTACACCACCATGAAGCTCCTCTTCTCCCCCTCGCCAAGCATGAACAAGGAGTGATCGGCCGTTGAGGGAGTGAAGCCAATCTCCTCCAACACTTCATGCAGCTTCATGTACCATTGCCTCGGGGCCTGCTTGAGCC